CAGATATGGTGGGTAGCAAGTCTCCTAGAGTAATGGATGGGTCACTAACCATAGTAGAGCTGGAAGGCAAAAGCTTTGCTGCAGAAGAAACAGTGAACTGAGGGTGAGGGTGAGCTGAGTTCGGAAGAAAAGTACATTAGAGTAGAAGATGCATATTGTAGTCACATGAACACAAACCCACGGGGCTAAAGTTTTTAAGGAAGTTTAAAAAGACCCCTACAGTTGCAAGGCTATGTTTGAGGGTAGAGGTAGCCGGAAGAAGTCACACGAAGACAGGCTGAATCAGTAGCATTTTCTTCATCTGAGAGTGTGGTAGTGAATGACCCACGTGCTTCCACTCATGGCTTCACACATCTCCATGGATCAGATAAACCGGGGCAAAAATTAGTGGAGAAGATCACTTCTTAATCATATGGATTTTTGTGCCAACAAGTAAAGTATTCAGAATCTGGCCTAAAACAAGAGAACCTGAAAATACAAAATCCTGTGTTTTTAATCTCCTGATGGTTTTGAGGGCAAAGAGAGCCAATGGAATCACAGGCCACTAAGTCCACCAGACCATATAACTACAATGAGAGGCAAGGAGAGAAGGGATCACCCAAGATGAGGGGAAAAATGAACTCCACTTCAGACAGGATGACCTAGAAATAGCTGAGATCCAAGAGACCTAAGGTGGTGGCAATGGGACACAAAGATCTGGGGCAGACTTCTGCTGAAGGTGGAGACTTCTGCCAAATGTGGACCTTTGGCAAAGATCTTTAGTCATGCAGGTTCTATGGGCACAGGCTGCAAACTCAGCAACCCCAAATCTTAGTACACATGAGTTCTGTAAACAGAGGAATACTGAAATAGGAAATAAAACAGCTGCAGCACCCACTCGCAAGGTGCTCACAGGAGAGCACATGGGGAATCAGGCAAGGAAACGGACAGCTCCACATGGTGAGAAGAGCTATGAGGAAAAAGACCACAAAATGCCTAGAGATGATTAGAGAGCCCTCTGTGAGTCCATGACATTGGAACTCTGACCCAAGGGCTGAGCAGCAATCAAAGCTGTATGTGTGTGTATGTGATTGTGTATGAAAGTTATGGGATGAGGGCAAGGAAGGGCTACCCTGAACTAGCACAGAATCAACCCTAAGGTAAGAAAGAAACAAAACTGAACTCAACATCACACATGATGTTCTTGCTCCCAAAGTATATGAGTGTTGAAGGTACAGATACTGCTTGAGCTTCGGACTGCTTTGAAGATAATATTTAGTATTTTCTATTTTATTCTAAGTATATCAGGAAGTCATT